TGAAGTCAAGCTAAATGGTGGTACGACCACAAGAGAAGAACCACCCATGGCACGGCACGTCGTCTGATGCGCAAGACAGTGGACAACGGTCCTCGATGCTGCTGGAGTCAAGTAGTTGTTGATCGTTTTGTGCAATGTTTTGCTCACCCACCAACAATAGCAACAAGGACTGATGGCATCGCCGGTGTGCGAAGCTCTACAATCTACTGTATATTATACCTGGACCTTTTTCATGTCTTTTTCTCTTTGCAACACTCGCCTGTACTTGGCCGCCTTTTCAGCCAGCCTATCTCTGCTTGGTCAAAATGACCAGTCCCACCTTGCTACCAATGGAGTCATTTACAGCGCGCTACAAACCTCCACTCTTTGCTTTTTGCGCAGCGTTTAGCCGCTTCACCATGAACCTTGGCTGGATCTCAGGCAAATGTCTCCTCCTCCATCAGAGTGAGGCTGCACAGTGGTCATCATTCAGTTTAAACAATTGTCAAGTCACACTTGTGCTGCCCTTGAACTTCAATAGTGGTTCTTCTTATTCTTATTTGTTGAATTCCAGATTCTTCACACTATGTTTAAGCGTGTTTGGTTGACATTCCCAAATCACCTCTAATTATAAGGTGTCTGGATCTCTCACTGAGCTCCACACTGCTCACTGTCGAAGAGCCGTTGCGTGCAATTCCAGATGCACTGCTGATCCTGGCGTGTTGGTAGCAGTAGGCTCGGTAGGATGTTTGGATCAGCGGTGTAAATGCAAATGCTCAACTGGTCGCCTTGATAAGGATGACAAACAATGAAGGTGGGGACGATACAGTCAACAAAGCCTTTCCCCACCCAAGGTCCTTGTAAGCTAGTGAATCTTCTGGAGTGTCAACACACCTGGCAAAATGCCAGCTGGTGTTGTGCACACAAAACACAAGAACAATGCCACAACAAATCTACTGTCTGCCTTCAAACTGCTGAATCTACAGCCAATCAGCGTGTCCAGAAATCAAACGAATCATTGTGATTGGACACGTTCACTGAAAAGCAACTTCCATCATCATATGCAACCATCACAAGGCTTGCAAATCAATAGAATGAAAGCTCCAATCAGCCTCCTGTACTATGTGTATGCATTTCTTGTCTGCTTCCAAATCAGTTTGCGCGTGAAACAAAGACCGAATGTCAGCATTGGCCTTTCAAAACAATGCCCCAAGATCTTCATGGTTGCCTTCTGGCCCTGACAGCTCAATTCACCATCGCAAAACCCCAAGCGGGTGCGATCTTACAATGTATTTCTCCTCTCAAAGGTGAACATTGAACATGAGGAAGGACCTATATGCCTAATGCCCTGGTCCTATTCTTGCAGGCCAGAACCAAAGAAGGAGCTACCAAACCGTGCAACGTGCTGTACCGTGTGCGGCCGTGCGATGTGTTTGTTGGAACTTCACCATCCTCACCAAACTGCTCTGGAAACCGCCTGAGCCATGATGATCCTTTGTTGAACAAAATAGAGGGGTTGATGCAAAATCATATATATATATAACTACTGTACCTCTTGATTGTTCACTGGGGAATATCCCCTTCCCATGAATCAACCAAAGAGCTGAATGACGGCCATCCATGCGGCCTGAATGACCTGCTGCATCTGAAGTATACCAGCTGCTCTCTCCATCTGTTCCGGTGCCGCGGCCGACTACATCCGTGTGTCTGTGGTGGGCAATGTCATTGGAGGGGCGGTTTTGGAAAGAGGAGTGAAGACCAGGTGGACAAAAACTCTCTTTGCACAAGTACGTCAATATCGATCAGTAGCACAGAATATCGATCACAGGCACAGAAAACTGACTTAAACCTGACAAAGCCGGTGTTTTTACCTTTACCTTCTTCTCAATGAACCCGGCACTCACATACCCTTTTGCCCTGTCCTTTGCGTGATTTGGTTCCTCGCGCATCTTCCCACGCATTTTTCCTCTGAGGCGCTGACATCTGCCTGTGAAGCACCCGACGAGCCGAGGTCCATAATGCCTGCGGCGAGGTCGAACTCGACTCGGTAGTAATTTTGGGGACCCAGCCAAGTCAAACAAAGCCAGTCGCTGAGACAATGGAGTAAGCAGTAAGTGATTGGCTTTTTGGAAGCCAAGTAAGGCGAGCTGATGTTTGTTTGGGGGAATCTAAGTTGCAAAGGGAGTGGGGGAACCCCCGTAGCTCTGCAGCAAAAGACAAAAAGCACTTGGTGGTCCACCTAGACAAATGTTCCGTCACCAAACCCAAACTTGGTACTATACCACGGTCAGTCTATGCAGGCACGCACACTTGAATCTATACGCTTCTCTTATCGATGGGACGTACTATCCTACCTCCCACGAGATGCAACTGCAAAACAACATCATTTCTTTGAGAGGATGCTCCAATCTTTTGGACACTTCGCAGCCGAAGCATCTGTCTTGTTTGTGTGTGAATCTTAGCATCAAACTCGCGCAACAATCACCTGTCTTGCTGCAATTGCAAAGCATGCCAAATCCGTCCAGTGACCGTACGACCAGGCTGCTTGCTCCTGACCACCAACGTTCGCGCACGAAGAAGCAGCAAATCACCTTCCCGCGTCTGCTCCGGGTCTGCTCCGCCCCACTGGACCCGAAGCACCCATGCATGTTTTTGTTGTTTTTCGTTCGAAAGGTGTGCGCCTCGAAGATTGACCTCGTCCACGGCCAGCAAAGCAATTCACGCGTTCTTCTCTCTTCCCGGAACCCGGCGCGCGGTTCGAAAGGGTGGTGGTGGGGTTGATGCTACAGCCGGAACCCGGCTGCGCAGAGCCGCTATCTTGAGCCACAAATAAAGAAATCAATTCATGGACTCATGGACATTCAGTGCTGTTCTTGAACCCTTGAGAGCCGAGACCACCAAAAGAAACCAAATGGGTTTAGTTAGGGTTTTAGGGTTTAGGGTTGATTGAGTGAGCAAAAACTGTTCACGGCACAACATGCAAAACTGCCACCCAAAATACATATGCAAGTCCACACACAAATGATCCTTTTCGGCCAGGCACCCATCACGTAACTTTGTGCAGTGCCATGAAAAAGAAGCATGCCAAGGTATGTCAAGCATGATCCTCACCCCGCCCAGAAAGGCCTCCACCTTATCCTCATCAACAAGGTTGAGGAACATAGGTGGTCTGGTTTGGATCTGAAGGTTTCTGCTTCACAGAACCTCCACTTGCATCTAACTACAGAATTCGATAAATCATCTGTTGGCGACTACCCACTGTACATCCGGACTACCAACAGCGAAAATCCATGCGTACCCAATAGCGCAATGAATGCCTCTCCTTGCAAAAAAACTTGCTTGCAGGCTCGCGTGTTCTGGGTTGCAAGTTAGGGCACAAATTACAGTATATAAAGACCTCCTAGCAAAAGCAAACAATTGCCCTCTGGACAAAATGGGTCAAGCTAAGGATCATACTACGCTGCAAAACAAGGTTTACTGGCCTAGTATACAGCTGGAAGCCAGAAATTGTCAGCCTGACAGAGATTAATCAACTTCAACGCTGCACCACAAGTACCACATCACCAGCTCAGCACTACCAGTAGCCATCAGTAGCTGTTGCCAACCTGAAGCTTTTCATGCATCGTGTTGTTGAAAACCAACCGACTCAAGCAACTTACCCAACCTACCCACCATCACCCACAAACATACACCCCACCATCACACCCCCACCAACCCGGTCCAAGGGTCGAGTCAATGCCCAAAGCCGGTCGGTGACCAACTCGCCGCTTCTCGAGGCTCAAGGAGTCGATGAATCTCCAGAATCGATGCCATTGGAAGAGGGTTATTCTGCAACCTGCCGCGCGCGTCTGTCTGGCGGCTGGACCGACGGCCGGACGACTCGGCGTCACACGGGGAGCGAGGCGAACCGGGGAACCGGGCTATACCCGAGCGGAGCGCCCATGCCCTATGCCAACCAGAACCAAGCTCCAACCATTGGACTGGACCGGACTGGACCCGATCCTTCGTCGCTTCATTCTCATGTCGTTTCATTGTATCTGATTTGTTTGGCGAGCCACCCTAGCCCTAGCTGTTTGCTTTTTCGTGCTATCCATGGTGCAAGAAAAACAGCCAAAATCAAAGGCTTTAGCAGTTGCAGCAGCAGTGGTACTAGGAAGCCATGTACTCTAAATGTGGCTGGTGCATCCAAAAAGGACATCTGATTGTGTTGAAAGCACAGCCCCAGCGTCTCAATGGTCCACTCACGATTGTGTCGTGGATTCTTTCGCAAGGCATTCGCCAACTTCTTAGCGCTCTTCTCCGGACAATCGATGCTGGCCAGCGCCAGGCGGAAGGGAGCCTCCCACAGTGGATCGAATGTTTTTCGTCGCCGCTGAACGGCTACGGCAAAGGACTCATTTTAAAAAATATTCTAAACTACATGCAAAGCATAAAAGAGCTTACCCTCTGAGTCAGTAACATGGAAGTGGAAGGCCCACTGTGTGTAGAGAAAAATTGTCTTCCAAAGGCCTATTATCCACTTCCATGATTGAGTTCAAACAGGATAAGTTTTAAAGCAAAGCTTCAAGGCCACTTCTTTGGTTTCGGGGCCCGCGCTGGAGAAGTATGTCTTGCTATGCAATCACCTGGGATAGAAAAGCTCCTCCTCCAACAAAGCAAACCACCCCTCCCGCTCATAGACTTCCCAGCCTCTTCGGATGACCGCCATTCCCTGAGATCCAAACCTCCCCTACTGGGGCCCCTACCTGCCGATGAACTGGACCCAGGAAAAGCACTCAAAAACACCGAGACCTTGGGTGTTTGGCGCCTCGCCTTGGCCTCCAACCGATGACCGAAGGGTGTGCGCCTCGCCTGCTGCCAAAATGGTAGCTCGTCCACTAGAAGATCCACACCCTCGCTTCCGATCCGTGGATTGCCCGACAAATCCACCAGCCGAAGCGAGGAGATCCAAGCCCAACCTGACCAAAAACGAGGGAAAACTCGGAATCGTCATGTTTGTTGGGGTTTCTAGAACTGGGGTACTAGTTGATAGGGATACCCTCCAACAAACATGGAAGCAAACCATCTAGGGGCCCTGCCATCCATGTAACCATGATTAGTTGGATAGGTGGGGGATGGTGCGGGCATGCAGATCTGCCATGAAATCCTCCAGAGATTGGATTACTAAGTTGGGCTGGGTTGTTTAGTAAGTGGAAAACAACCATTTAAAAACAAAGGATGAAAAAGGCCATCTTTTTCAGGCGCCCTGAAAACCACGGAGAATGAAGAATGGTCCATGGTCCGAATCCCACGCATATGAAACATGACACCACGTGATGTCCCACGACATCCCTGATGTCTAAATCTACAGCATTCAACTCTCCATGACGGTTGGAAATCCGAGCCAAGCCTCTGAATTTTGGCTCTTTTGCCGTCTCATGCTTGGTGAGGTGTTGTTTTCAGGGTCGAAAAGGAAGTTGAATCAATCTGAGTGTGACAGTTGAATCTATAATATAACTATATCTATATATTATGTCTAATGATGTCCAATCGTTCTAAATCTATGGATGCAACAATGCTGGCCACGCCCTCTTTCATCTAACTTTGCATGAGATGAGATGTGAAGGGCACTCGTTGCGGAGTCGTGGCCCGTTCGTTTTCAACCCGTGATATGCTATGGGAATCCATGGGAATATGTGACCTGAATCCCGCTTGTGTTTTTGTTCACCAGCTGGCCTGGCGGGCCAGCATTCCACAACTGCTTGAAAACATGTAAAAGCAAATGAATCTTGGACGAAGACGCCAACCAAAAATAAAAGACAGCTTTTTGTTTACGCCTAAAACCACAAAACATCCTCAAGTGCCTCATCAATCCCAAACACTCCATGTTACATGGGGTGGTGGTGGTTTGACGGGTCAATGGCATGACAAACAACATGGAGTCTCTGGGTCTTGAGGCACCAGAATTGCTGCGATGTAAACCCTCCAAATGGAAGAGCCACGGGGGCCCTCGGATCGAAGACCGAACACCGGGAGCTGCCTTCTGCCAGTGCTTGCACACCTGAAACAAGGCGTCGATCTCAAGCGGTTTAGAAGGGACGAACAAGAAACCATCGCTGGGTCCAAGCGAAACTGGCGAAACGCAATTGAAACTGCAGATTGCCATGAAAGTCATAGATTTGGTGCAAACATGCAGTAAAACAACTGAGACAACTGCCAGTCTAACAGCATCGACATGAACAATTGTTTGTCACCTTCAGCACCCGGAAATCTTGAGAGATAATAGAGGGTGACATGACTTACTTGCCAGAGGAGTTTAGGTTTGGCAGTGCAAGTCGACCAGTTTCAATGCCAAAAGCACAACGTTCCTAGAACGACCTCTGTTTTGGACTGCCAACCATAGATGGCCCTTTACCTATCAGAACGGGGGTCAAACGATTGTCAAAGGCAATACCTGGAGAGTAGTTCTTGCTCATGGATACTGGGCCCGCGGATCCTTCGTTCGTTCGGATAGGTGGTTTCATCGTCCACGTCGAACAACGTGGTTTTCCGCTTCATGGCATGAAACAACATGTTCCTATAAAACGAGGGCAAAACGACGGCTGCTTCCAGGAAAAACATATATATATAATATAAGCATGATCAAGCCCGTTGGACGCAATGGCACTTGTTTTGGATGTTTTATATGTTTTTTTTTGGTTTTTTGTTGAGTCTCCTTTCACCCCACTGCGGCGCTGGTTTTTTCATCACCAACTGGTGGACCAGGTTGGACGACCACTCCGTGGCGCAGCGCCGAACCAACCGAGATCGGTCATCGAATCGGTCGACGACAGCACTGGTGTGTTCCTGGATGGTCAGGGTGGACCAAGAGGCAGACATACCGAGCACCTTGCAACGGCAGTGCCCCCCTGGTATTCGGTATTCATGTTATACTGAGTCTTTGGTATTTTTATGATCCTGGTAGTAGTATAATACAAAGCCTCTGAAATCATCATGGTGGAAGTGGATGGTGCCCCCTGTTTGGTCCGGATTGCGTCGAGTCCATCCAAAATGCCGATTCTTGGACCGCTTTGTATCCATCTCTTGGGAGTGGTTTCAGAGTTAGATGGACTGCCCTAAGAATCCGAGTCCGGGCTCTCCATGGGGGTCGGACCCGACACCTTCGCAGGGGTCTGGACCCTAACCAAACCCTATGTGTTTGAGGGCCCGGATTCTTAGGGTGGCACCCAAAAACATGTCCTTATAGTGGACACGACCAACTAATGGTGCCAGTCCCCTCGGGTCGTGGTCCTTATAGTGGATTGAGAGGACCAATGGCACAGACCCCAATGGAGAGGTGGTGCAATCTACTGGACCCCCATCTGTCGTCCGGACATCATGGGGTCTGTGCCATCGAACCTCTGAAACCACTGTAAGTGATCCCAGGTTTCAATCTCCAAGAAATCCTCAGAATTTTCACGCGAGTTTCCACCGAGCAGTCTGCGCTGTATGTATACAAATTGTACCGAAAAACAATCACATTTGCCAAAATAATCCGGGCCAGCCAAGCCACCGGCAGGTCCTATCTCGTTTCCTGATAGCAGCAACTCCTGCGGAGTGTCAATCCAAGCGTGAAATACCTATCTTAGGGCGTCATAAGTGCTGGAACATTGCACCATGGTTCCCAGTGGTTTTTGGAGAAGTACGCAGAACAGAGTAAAATCTACGGGTAATTACACAGAATCAACAGCTTAAACGTTCTAAAGTTCTGTCTTGGACCGGTAAGCTATAGTGAGTCGATCCATGAACAACATGTGGGATCTCATCATGTGATGTAGCGAACGTGCCATTCCGAGTGGATCCATGGGCAACCCATGGCACGTCCACCGCTTCTACCCAGAAACACCTTCCAACCCCTTCCAACCACTCCTCCACAACGTCCAGGAGATCGCAACGGTCTTTTTTTTGGTCATGATCGCATCTTAGGAACCACTCCCGGACACGACCTGTCTGGGACTGCCATAGGACTGCCGCCCCATGGACCCCCCGTTTCAACCACCCCTTGGCCTGATCGATAGTCGTGAGACTGAAAGCATCGAATTCTGACATCCCTGATTTCTGTCTTGGTCAATTCGAGCGAACCAAGCATATTCCAAACCCACTTTCCTTTCCGGATGTCAACGTCATCCTGGCACGTCCACCAC